TAATAATAATGTCGTCCTGATCAATTTCGGCCACGGCGGTCAGTCTCGCCAGACTAACGACTAAGCAGATGCGCAGGAGATATTATAGTGCAGCGCGCAGACACAAGTGCACTCTCTATTCCTATTACTCTCAAAGTAAGGTGGGCCGATAGTTCGATACGGCTGGTGAAACTATTAACTCTCGTTTTAGTGCAGGACCGAAAGTCTTCTCCAAGGCACGGGGGTGATACACTGTCAACTTCCCAACTCTGGGCTACTACTGAGAATATCTTAATAGACAAACTCAGAAATTAAACAGGACTCGAAACCAGGACCTTTGGATCTGCAAGGCTGTATATATGAGTATATATAGTATACTAGCGACTCACCCTCGCTTCGCTCCGGTTTGCGAACAGACAGACAGACAGACGCGGTGAAATACTTTGTTTTATAATATGTAGTGATAAACGAGGGTAAAATGCTTATGATTGATAGATATATACATACATAGATATAATAGATAGATGACAATTAAATAATATATCTCATATACTGAATTAAAGTAATTTAAGTTCGTTCTTAGAAAAAGGAGAAGAAAATATAGAAACTAATCTTTTTGTAGTCGGTTAAAAACGTTTATTACCTCACCCTATACAAGCGTTATAAATCACGACAAATAACTCGTAACCGACAGTGGTGGTTGGCACTCTTCAATGGACACCTATTTAATTGTAATAATATGAAAATATGCTCCGATAAGTGATTTTGTATGGAACATACAATATTTGTATGGTTCTGTACTTGAGAATGGAACCTTTTTTTAAGGGCAACTATTAAGTTTCTCTTGGGCTCTTATCAGCAAAACTGCCTTCCAGTGCTTTCTCACGAATCTACAATACTGATATTTTACTTTTGACCAGCATTCGAAGTAATTTAAAAAAAAAGTAGTCATGAGGATTGCCAACTGAAATGTAAACTAAAAACTATAAACAAACAGTTGTTATTTTTGGATATTCAAATTAATTGTTTCATTTTAAATTCAAATTTGTAAATTAAAACTGTTTACATTTATCTGGTTTTGACATCTATCGGCAGTCTGAGTGTTAGCACTTAGCGCTAACACGTCACGTGATCATGTCGATGACGACTTACACGAATTTACTCCCCATCCAAACTTGCCTATAGAAGTTTTCATTTTAATAACTTTTCAAACAAACTTCCGACCTCTTTAGGGGTATTTACACCCCCATAAACTGTTAAAGTGAAATGAAGCTAGGTACCTATACAAGCTTGTAACAATTGCACTCTGAGATTTCATGATTAATCAGTGAGTGATATTTGGCTTTTATATGTACATAGTAGAATTATAATTCAAAAGTTCTTTTAAAAGTTTATTTGGATTCTAATTATAATAATAATGTTCTCAGCAATCAAATATTATATTATATAGACATAATATTATATATAGATTAGAAAATATTATAGTGTACAAGTGTTTTAGACAAGGAACAGGAACGTTTGTTGGGTTCCTTTTTTTTTGTAAATTTTCAGTTTGTCGATCGGTCAAGTGTGAGTCGAATTCGCGATGAGCTCGATACATCCACACATTATAATATGTTTCTGTGTGTTACAAAATTATATATGTATATTTGCTTATATAGAAATAGACGTGAAAATTCGTCGCTATAGTGTCACACTTGGTCGAATTATATTATTTATTGTTTTGGGTTAGAATTTATACTATAGTAATATCAAGTAATAGGATTAAATCTTTTAGAAATGTAAAATTTTGACATTTTAACATCCCATGCAAATTTCAAAAATTTCCATCCCTATAGATGGTACATACTTACTCTAATAAAGAATTCGAGTAGTTAAAAAGCAACTAATTAATAATTAAATCAAAAGTAATGAAGTTGCGCGGCTTACACTAGTCTAAAATATAAATAATATCAAAGAAACAGTCCAAGTATCTGGTCCAGTATTTTTTGTAGCAAACAGACATACACTTGTTAATATTATTCTCGTTTTTCCATAATAAATAAGACGCAGTCCAATAAATCATAACACTAAATCAAGTGTGCAATTTAGCTCTACTGGGAATCGAAGGGACGACTAATTGTTTAATGTCGTCTATGCTTTTACTTTTGATCTATTCCTGACGGTTGAATTATTTTGTTTGAACACTCAACTGTTTAAAAAAACTATATGTGTATGTATGTTTTTGTGTGTACTATGAAATATCTTTACCAATTATGAACCGATTTTCTAATTTTTTATTGCATTAATGTTTATACGATAAGAAGATAAAAAGTAAATTTGAAGAAGCAAAAATTTTCTACAGTCCGTATCATGGGATGATTTTTTTTAAATCAGTATATTTTTTTGATCAGTATTCGAAGGATACCCATTTAAGTTTTAATTAAGTTTCATTTTGTACTTTAGTTTGAAAAAGACCTAATACTTGGAAACCTCATTTTCCAATCTGGAAAGTACACTCCTCAAATCGAGACAAGATCTAAAGTAAAAGAACAAAACACATTACACCAGGTGAGTTAACTATCACAAGGTTTAGTAAACAGGTGTGAAATGAACATTACTTTTGTGTTAAACTCTCCCATGACGAATTCGAGTAAAATTAATTAGTCACGTCTATATTTTTCAATTAAATCATAAATAACTTCACGCGATGCTTTTGGAGATAAAAACGCCACTCTGTTTCTTGTCTTATATAATGCTTGTTGGGTGTGAGTCTCCAACTTTTGTTTTTCAATATTATTTATGCAAGGTTTACGTAAAATAAAAAAAACTAGAAACAAGATTTAATTAATTGGTATTAGGCATTTGTTGATACGACCTTGGCATAAACTACAGTATTTTAGAAAAAATAAAGATTGCGGGAAATTTCACAGTTTTACGAAAAGGGGCAATGACAATGTCAATGTGTGTCCTGTCATGGTTGGTCGTAATTTAAGTAATTTTAATAATTCTAAGCATAATGGAATTTTACTAGCTATGTTATATTATAAACATATATTTTTTCGTTTGTATGTAGGGTAAAGACTAAAAACTACATTTTATTTATTTACAAAGCAAATCTAATTCGACTGTTCTTTGATTAGTGAATTTTTTAACTTTCCCATTGTGCTTTTTTTATTTTGTAATCAATATGAACGGCTGTAATTATGGTTTCTTTCAATATGTAAAAACGTTGTTTTTTCATATGAAAATATAATTTAAAAAAACAGTCCACAAAATTACTCAAATTAAAAAAAACAGTTTTGTTTGATATCAAAGTTTCACATTGAAATGTAATTGATCTTACATCAGTCTTTACTCTGTACTTCTTATGATAAAAATCATAAAAAGGTTTTAATAAAGTTTCAATTCCACTAATGTACCATAAGTACGAAAAGTACCTATCTCTATGTCTTTATTTAATATTTTACCATATTATTTGTTTTCGCCATTTTGGATAATTAAAAAAAACAACAGAATTAATTTCAAAAACCAGAAATATAATTTATTTTAAAACGTATCCTAATGCAGTCTATAACATAACATAATTAAAATACTATTCACAATAAACAAAGAAAATGGAAGAAATGCGACTAAAAGTTGTAATACTAATTATAAATATGACTTTCCTTTTTTAAATATTTACATTTTTTACAGATACATGAATTATGATAAAAACACAGACATGAAATATGAAGCAGTTCAAAGTTACACAGAAAGGAATAATAGGAGAGAAATTTCTCTCTTATTAATCTTTTATTAACATATCTTTTACTTTCTTTTTTTATAAGTTTAAAATTTACTTTAATACTGATATTTTTAATCTGTGTTTTTTAATTTAATTAAATACATAAAAACATTAAAATAAGCCTCTACATAAAACTAGCCTATGCTTATTTTAATTGGTTATTCAATCGCATCTTTTTGGACAATTATTATTATTAAAAGGATTTTATTTCAACATCGGTTCGAATTATTATTTAAGTAATGTAATTTATGGAAAAATACACTTCAATAGCATATTAAAGTCTTGCATATGAAAACTAACTTTTTACTAACATAATTGCATATAATACATTGTCCTTTCTATCATTACATCAAAAAAGAGAAAATGACGATATTTATCAAAATTGAAAATGACGAAATGGTAATTGTATTTACTTTATCCATCGTTTCTAAACTTTTAGACCCTCAGGAGGTTGATAAAATATTGATGGTCGTATATGGTGCATCCTTTTTCTGAAATCTGAATAATTTTGTAATGTTTCAAAAAAAAAAAACATTTTAAAACGGTATTATACTAAAGGTTGAGAAAAGATGATTAAATCTATTTAAAATAAATTGTCATGACAAAAAAAATCGTTGGGTTGTGTCTTTTCATTGAAACCTATTTGTACTCAATAGAGATGAGAAGTAATGAAAATATTGACAGACTATCAGTTTTTACAATCTAATAATTACATCGATTCACTATTAATCATTAATAATATTTCAAATTAAAAAAAACTCTTTCTTCTAGGTGGACTCTTACTTATTTGTGCACAATACGCTGTAGTCCTTTTAATATTTTTTAGGACGGCATTATTTTTGACAGCTGTCTAATATTTTAAAAAGTCGATTAACAAGTTATTGTAAAAATAAATACCGTCATTATATTATTTAAAACACAGGAACCGTACTTCATATATTTATCTTTTAATATAGTGCTATATTTATTTTTAAGGAGGCAATTTAAACAGACTATATTATTACGTAGGTACCTACATTTTCTTACATAGATTAAAAATAAAATATTTTTATACCGTGAAATGAAATGTATAAAATTTCTCCCCGTTTGTAAAGTTTTGTTTGATGACGTTAAATCTTTAAGTATAACAAAATATTAAGTAAAAATATTCAAATAATATTTAAATAAATAGGACTTATGCTACTAAGTCCTGATATCTCTCATGTAACTAAGCTAACTTTGAAAAATTCTTAAAAAAATTTTTTTTATTTTTTTACGTAACATTAATTTCTTCTTCCTCATCACTTTCTGTAACAGTACTGTGGTTGTAAAGACCTTGGGCCATTAGTTGCAAAGCCAATGGATTCCTTTGACCAGTCGCCTTCTTGATCTTCGCTCTTTTATTCTGAAACCAGATCTTAATCTGCGCTTCAGCAAGACCTAGCTCTGCAGCCAGGGCCTGTCTTCTTCTCTCAGTCAGGTAGCGGTTTTCGGCAAATTCATGCTGTTGACAAAATAATTAGATTATATTATTTATAAGACCAAATCAAAGAAAAGAATTATTTATATTTGCATTCGCCATTAGCAAGTCATTAAACTACAATTTCCAAATAAATCCGAATTAGATAAAAAAAACACCAGCATTTAATGTCATAAAGTAACAACAATACTGCTTAATTATCTTTTATCTGTATTAACCTTTAGTCTAGCAAGTTGTGCCGCACTAAACGCTGTTCTTGGTCTCTTCTCTTCTGGATTCATTTTCTTCTTCACTCTTCTACTTCTGGGACCTGATAACAAAAATAAAAAAGAAAGAAGATTAATATATATATGGTTATTTTAGGTATGGTATTTATACAGTTTTGGGTTATATGTGAATATATAATTATTTATCCAAGTAGTTTTATTATACCGTTGAAAAATAATAGAAATTAGTTATTTCAATAAACGAATAAGTATATTTTTTAAGACTACGTATTTATTATCTAAAAGAGTTTAATTAAAAAGGAAAATGTTTGTAATTATGTATAATTGACTATAAAAAGTGTTTTGTTTTGAAACAAAACTATCGTTTACAGAACGTTAAAAATTAACAAACGTAACGAAGGGCTTTATTACTTAATGTAATTACAGATAATTAAACAGATAAAGAAGAAAATTATATTCAAATAAAATATAATGACAGCAATTAAGCGATCCGACATTAGATAATATTAAGAATGAGGGAAAAAGGAAATATATGCGAAACTCTCAATTCTTTCTTGTTTTTACTTAAATATCTTGTGTGTATGTTTGATTCGGAAATGAAATCTTCTAAAGAAAATTGTTTCACAGCATACATATATGTACAAAAACAGAAGAAAGAGAAAATATTATGTTTATGAGAAAATCAGCTAATAGATAACACACAAAATAAAAAATAATATAGGATTTTTTCTAATACTAATAGAAAACTTAAAAAACACTAGCATTGCCCACGGCTTCGCCCGCGTTCAGATAACCAAAAACCACGCTCTTAGGTTTTACATATTAGTATACTCATTACAGTTACAGTACAGTTTTTGTATTTTTTCTCAGAAATGAGATATTGTTCCACGGTAAAAAGTATATGTTGACCCGGATAATTAGCTATGACCATACCAAATTTCATCAAAATCCGTCCAGTAGTTTTTCTGTGATGCGGTAACAGACAGACAGACAGAGAGACAAAAATTCTAAAAACTATAGATTCAGCCTCTGTATCGATAATAATGTATATTTCAATAAGATTTTCCAAAAAATATTTAATGTACAGATTTGACTCAGTTACAATTTTATCATATGTATAGAAGACAATTAGTTAACTACGAAGAGATTTCTTTCCTGTCAAATCCTAACAAAATCGATCTCTGCGCATTTCTAAAACCGCCTGTTATATTAAAATTGACCGGCCACTACTACAATTTTATAATAATATTTCAAATGGAGAAATAATTTACATTAGATATGGAAAAGGTAACGTTACATCATGTAAGGCCAGCCCCACACGCGGCACCCTAAAATTAAGGAAAATTAAGTAGATTATAAGTAATTTTAGAAAACATATTGCTAGACGTACACGCGTTGATTTAATTAAGTTCCGAGGGGAGGGAAAAATATATAATATTTGGGTTAAATAATTATTGTGCTTGTCAAATAAATAATAAAAATATTATTTTTTTCTTTCTTTAAATCATGTGTACATAATTTTTTTTATAACACAAAGTAACGTGATGCACGATAAACAGCCAATGTAACAATTTAATTATACATAAGTCATATGCAAATTTCATCATGTAACCGGTTAAGAGTAAAAAAATAATTTAATTTTCACAACAAAGTTCTTATCGTAGCCATAAATAATTCAATATAATTTATTAGCATAATTGTAATTGAGTTGTTATTACACTGCAGTTTAAATATTGTTTAATTGCTCTCTTAAATCTTGAATAAATGTGTTGAAATAAAGAACGTATTTCAATTATAAGTGCAATAAAATAATATGATTTCATTATAGGAATGTTGATCTGTTACGATATAATTTGTATCATAAATTTGATAAAACATTTTTAATTAATTTTACAGATTATAAATACCAGTGTTCTTCGGCCAATGATTGAAATATAACCGTAATGATATGTATATATATGATGTCATAACACTTTATTTCTATGCATGATGTGTTTATTTGTAAGTAATCACTACAATTAGTTCCTAGTTTTTAGTTCTAATTTTTATATTTGTGATTGTGATTGTAAATAAACCTAATAAATAAATAACACTAATCTAACACTATCGCTACTAAACAAAAAAATCTGTTGACAAACAGTGCAGAAAAAGTACTGTTTTGTCTTCGCCTATATACATATATTAAATTCACAAAAATATTTTATTAGAATTAATCCTTTACAAGAACTACAGTCCCCCACGTGTAGAGGTTGCAGTAAATTTTATTTTATCTGTGGCGAAGAATCGTTTAGCGTGTCTGTATTCGTAATAAATCTTTGCGCGGGAAACCCCTATCAGCGGAATACAGAAACACTTTTAACGCTTTCCACGAGATTAATTGTATCAATTTTATTTATTTAGTTTAATATCGTAAGAAGCCATTATGTTAAAAAATATAATATTAGTTTCTTTATATATGAAAGTAAATTTACATGGTGGCAGTAATTATTCTGTTTAAAGCTAGTTTATTTCATAGTTTTCATCACACATGCAAACTAACACAATCCCAATTATTAACATTCAACGATATCAATCTTTGAAATTGCATCTTGATTGTAATTTCTAGAAATATACGCTTTTTAAAAACAATTTTATTTGTAATTTTGGTTTTTATACCTTCATTTTATAGCACAAAATGGCTTGATGTTAAATTAATTCTAACTTTTATTACCTTAGGAATAGAACAGGAAATGGAGTGATTTGAAAAAAATGGGGCCGTGATAATAAAAAATGTGCTTTACGCCTTCGTATTAGAGTGTGTTTTTATACTTATATATATTATATACCAGCGTTCATTGAAAAATCAACCTTAGCTTAAGAAAATACGATTGCTTTTAGAGGATTCTTAACTAAAAGCTCCAGGGCCGTTCATCACTCGATAAAAGCGGGCAGTAAGTTTTTTTATCCGGCTTTTTAATTAAACAAACTTGAAATAGAGCATTTTCCGTAACGAGGCTTAATTCTGGACGTGAAAAAATACTATCCGTTCTTGTAACTGTTGAAAGACCTTTATTTTTCTTTTTGTTCTCACTCTGGTAGGTGAAAATATTTACGCTAGTATGTACTTAAATATGTATAATTTTTTTTGTTGTTTTACTGTTTATCATACTACTACAATTATTGCAAATTCGAAAGTTTGTATGTTTATGTATAAAGTTGTGTGTAAACACAAAACAAACGTCTCACCTTGGCACTAAAACGGCTGGACGGATTTGGATGAAATTTAGAAAACAGACTATGACGTTTTGATAGGAAACTGTTAGATAACATGGAACGCACCCGAGCGAGCATATCCAAGGTAAGTTGCTTGTTTATACATATATAAATCTTTTTTAAATAAAACTATCTTTTCGGATTATTTCGCGGATTTATTTTGATTTTTGGTTCCCAACGTTTCGAATGCTTTACAGCATCCATGGTCACGGGAGAGACTGAGGTGTTACATGTCTTGAAAGTATAGTTGTTACAGACAACCTACCGACAATTAACAAAATGAAACGTCAGGAACCAAAAATCAAAATAAATCCGCGAAATAATCCGAAAAGATAGTTTTATTTAAAAATGTCAAACATTCGCGTAAATCTAAGAAAGTATTATATATAAATCTAAGAAAGCACAAATGCTACAAAATTTAAACGTAAAAGAAGGATGTTTAGAAAGTTTATATGAAAATCCATTATTTTTACTGCGTGATTTTTTTTATTGATTAAAGCTTGTCAATAGCTACTCAATTTTTTTTTTTAAAAACAAAGGAAAAAGTTACTGCACAGTTTTATCTTTGCCTATTTACTTACATATACCTAAATATATAATGTTATTAAAAAATAGCAGATAATAGTGATATGTAGTAAGGAATTGTGGAAAACAAAATAATTATGTAAAAGTTAAAAGGGACTTATACGGTCAAATAACTCCCATAAAAGCGCAATAATTTATTCCACAATCGCTTAATTTTGATTACAACATCCCACTGTGTCTATACATCACTAAACAATTAGTGGTGTATAAAAAGACAAACTGTACAAGTTTGAATATTAACATTCCTGCCCTGGTCGTTAGGTTAATGGCGACAAAACAATTTATATGTTTGTTTCTAACTACATAACCCTTTAATGCTGTTTGATAAACGGATGTGCTAATTTTGATGCAATTATAAAATTACCGAATTCGCTCTTAATCTCATTTCACCGTACGTCCTACTGAACGTTTTACTGAACGTCATGGGTCTCTTACCAGTTCGGAAGGAAGCCTCAACCCTACGAAGAACTGGCGACAGAAACTCAACAGGTCTAATATTATTACTATATCTTTTTTGTAAGATAAATTATATCTTTTTTGTAAGACAAATGGTATTCATGTTGGAAATGATTCGGGATTTGAACCCGCTTCACTCGGTTTCCCATGCGACCGCGTTACAAATACAAAAAGTATCTAGATACATACGCGATCGAAGTGATTGTATGTTACTAATATAAAAATAAACTATAAATTAAAAAAATGTATTAAAATTCATCTCACGAAGAATACGTGACAGGCATGTCTAAAGACAAAATGTCACATCCTCAAATAGGCCTATTAATTGATTACCTTGGTAATTAAGTAATTTTATGTGCAATAATTGCTAGTAACTAGGTTTTTTTCCTGTCTTCCCTCGCAATTAAATGTTTTTGCTAATAAAAAATATGTATGTTCGCGAAACTAAATGCCATTTATCGTTATAGTGAAGCAATCTTGATACCACTTTAGTGCAGTTAAGCTTATTAAAAAATAATTCACTTATTTACTCATGGAAAGACTAATCGTTTCACCTTACTTCGCCATTTTAGTACTTAGTTTTGTAAGAACAATATCCAAATAATTTAATATTATATAAATACATAGGGACGAACCTGAGCGAAGCGAGGGTGAATCGCTATACAACATAAACCAAAAGAGTTTTTTTTTGTAGATTGAATGCGGGCGAAGCCTAGCCTCTGCTAGTATTATAAATACTCGTACAAAAATCCGTGACTGGAGTACAAATATTCGTGCTCATCACACAAAT